TACACCGAGAGAGAGTGAAAGAGAGTGTAAGTGAGAGAGAGAGAGAGAGCTAAATACCTCACCTCATTCAAATGCTCAAACTAAACCAAACCAAACCATATCAAACCGAACTGAACCGAACACAAATACGCACACGCAAGTATCCATAAATCGTAATTGTGACTATGTATATATGCTTACACACTCGCTCCCTCCCTCTCTCTCTCTCTCTCTCTCTCTCTCTCTCTCTCTCTCTGCGAATGTTCGGTCGTCTTAAACGGTTGCTGTGTGCTTTTGCCTTTTTATCCCAATGCTATAACATTGGGGATGCTGTATATACACACCATCATCGGTCGAAGCATCGAAACACTGTTCGCAGAACACATTATACGATGATCGTGCATATTTTGCCATATTTCACTTAGCTCGACTGCTGCTGCTGCTTCTGCTGTCCCGTATAAATTTTAAATGTATCAGCTTTTTCTCTGTCGTTTCGCTTGTGCCACGCTTTTTTCTGTCCCTCTCGAGCGCTCGGCTCTATCTCGCATTTACAGCGTAGGACGAAAATGATTCTATCGATGCTTTTGTTGCGTTTGCTCGTTGTTTCTTGTTTGTTCTACTCCATTTATTACGAGGATGAGCTTGAGCGAGCGACTGTGTATGTGTGTGGATACGTATGTTTGTTTGTATGTGCGTGTGCTGAGACTGCTAGTGTGTGTACGTTGTACGCGTGCATATGAGTGTGTGTGTGTGTGTGTTTCAAAAGTCGACGTTTTCTGCTGCTGCTGAAAAAAACACACTGAAGAGAGAGAAAAATGAAGCGAACTAAAAACGATAAGGTCGATATCATGATGTTGTCGCAGTCGCTCCCTTTCAATACAAACAAATTTTGAAATTTTGCCATCTCGCGCCAGAGAGCGAAAAACAAATCATTGGGTAGCAACTTCAACAGAATGAGGAAAAAAATGGCATGATTTTAGTGATTTATTTGAACTTTTCTCACGTACGACCCAGAGATAATGGTACGTGGATACAAACTACCCCAAATACTGATAGAACTAATGATTTCGGAGAACATTCTATACACCACCACCACAATCAGCAGTAGCAACAGAAGTGAAGAAGGAGATGGAGAGAGAGAGAGAGAGAGAAAAGGGAAAAAAGACAACCAATCTCAAGATGTCACAAAAACTAAGTCACATTGTCGTAAACACTTGTTCTCTGTCAAACTGTTAAGAATCGAAAGCGTTATGAAAACAAAGCAAACATTGTCAAAACTATTTTATTGTCTTCTTTCAATTTTGTGTCCCGTTCTGGACTATGACCGAAATCTCCAACTCAAACAAAAACTCTTCAAACTATACGCACCGAATACTGAATACAGAAAAACTTTTTTTTTCCTTCTACATTTTGACAATAGAGTTTGGTGTTTGTTGTTCGAACGCAAAATGATGAAATATGTAAATGATATACACAATCAATTTGTACGATGCAGAGCATCATCGGAGGGAGAAAGAAAGGAAAAAAAAGGTTACAGTTTTTTCATGTGACAACCAAAACGCTCATCATGCCCAATGCTGAATTCTGAATTCTGCAGCCAGCATCGAAATAGGCGAAAAAGCGCATAAACATATTTATTCGATACTTGGCATAAAATCGCCATTAGTTGACCAATGAATCAGCCACTAAAAGTGTATTGGTTTGACTATTAAATTGGGTCTCTGCCCTAAATACTGACTGGGATAATGTTGTTCGGATGGGTGTTCGTTCGGTTCGTTTTGTTCGCTCACAACGTAGCACGCAATCAAACTCAAAGCTAGCTGCTACACGAACATTTTCAAGGTTGTTACCAGTCTTTTGCAAGACACAGAAAAAAAAGCGGAGAGGTCGTTGGATTTAGTCTCGTGGACCATTTTTCGAGTCCTCTCACTCTCTCTCTCTCTCACTCTTGCTCGTCACTTTTTTTCTGTTCTCTATTTCAGCTATAGAAAAACGCGTGAAACAGAAGTGACCAAATAAATTACTTTTGGTTTCAATCTGAATCACTTTCGGCAGCGCATCGATCCGCTTCAAAAAGTAAGAACAAAATAAATTTTGAAAATGGATCGAGACGGTGTGTGTGTGTGTGTGTTTGTGTGAAATGAGACTGAAATGAGCTGAGAAAAATTGATGCTGCACCCTCAACAACAACAATAACATACACTTATAATTCAATGTGGCACGCACGCATTCATCTGTATCATTTTCATCATATATAATTGTTAAAGCAGCCAACATTTATATGAGAATTAACACAAACCGGCACGCATATGGCGGTGCGTGTGAGTGTGTGTGTGCGAGTAGTCGTGTATGTGTTTGTGTTAGGTAAAAGCGTGCATTGTCATCAAATAAATATGTCTGTGGCATTTTCGTTTTTCTTTCGCTTGTTTTCATGGCTTTGTTATTGCTGTTGTCGACGTCGTTATTTCAATGGTTGGCAAACTCATTTTCTACTTGATTATCATTTATGTGGCATATTCAACGGATTGTATTATCGTACAGTGGATAAAATCTGCTTATTTCGCGAAATTGAAGCATTCTGCTTCAACTGACGATGAATGCAATTGATTGTCCATTAGAAAAGCTCGTCTTTGGCTGAAATGAATTGGCCTCAAAGGAATTTCCCATTTTTTTTTCCATGACAGAATGACTATTTGCAAATTTATTTTTCAGCCATTCTTTGTCGATTTCAAAAATGTAAAGTTTTTCATTTAAAAAAAAATTTGAATCATCTGACATGAAATCGTTTGGTTTTGGAGGGCCATCGATCTTGAATTTGCATTTGGATTTGTAAAAATCAGTCGGTGCAAATGGAATTATGAACAGCAACAATAACAGAACAAAAAAAAAACAGAAAGAAAAAGAGACAAAAACAAAAACGAAATTACAACAACAAAAGCGACAACCGTTTCGCATGGAATAGGTAAAAAGAGGCCGTGTCATATAATAATAATCAGTTGATAATTTATACAATGCATAAATGAATTAAACTCCATTGTGTGCCATTTTAATTGTTCTAGTTTCCAGCTTCTGGTTGCCTCCTTCCTTTCCTCTTTTTTTAACTTTGCTGCCATTCCCTCTCTCTCTCTTGCTCTCACTCTCTTCTTTTCACAGTTTTCAGACAGCAATAATACAACACTTTATTAAAGCTTTCTGCACCCGTCTCATCGTGAGTGCTCGTTTTACGTTCACGTTGTGTTGT